TTTAATAAACCTTTTATCTTTTATTCTTAAATCCCCCTGCTCCAGTATGCAGTGTGATGTGGAAACATAAAGCCACCAGTGCACATACACTGAGAATGGACTTTACAGTGAAGGAGGAGAGATCTTGTATCGAACAGGAATTTTTATAAGCATATTCATATACATTTGGTTTTGATGATTTTGATTTTAATCAGTTCTGAGCAGCTATCTGTATATATGTCTTAATACACATATGGACTGGACTTTAAGTTTGGGAGTAAAAGTGATGGATTTTTACTTTTAGTAGTTAATAAAGTTAAATATGGGCTCTGATCTGTGGCTAGATGATACACATCAGCTGTTTTGTTTGTGGTATAAATGTTTATTGTGTTGGTACGTGAACGAAGGAGGAAGAGTAAAATGTTTGTGTTCATTCAAACCATCTCTGCCTCCAGAGGGCGCCAGTCCTAAACATATTCAACTTCTGCTCCTGTAAGCTACTCAGTATGTTAAATCACTGCTATGATTTATACACTGAACTGGCTGGCAGTGATGGATATCTTTTGCCAAACATTGTCAGTAACCTCTCAAAGTGAAACTTAATCTTGAGACTCTGAACAATGTGGAATTACCAGCTGAACAGTCTTCATAAATAGAATAATAGCTAATCATCAGTTGAATCACAGAACAGCACGCAAACATGACAGATGTCTTTTGAATAAATAACAAAACAACATTCCACTGTCTGCTAGCAAGGCAAAACCCGCAACCATGTAACAAACATCGTGTGATTCAGATCTTTAATTATAATGAACTGTATTTGTATAGTTGTGCAGGATGAATGTGCTTATATGTCAAAGTTGTTGTGTGCTTGTAGATTTGTCTGTATAATTGTTAGTATGATACAAAACTATGTAATGGTGTCATCTCTTCTTTTTTGGAGATCAAGGTTTTTGTGCATGGCCTTGTTTAATAAAGTGAAATTATATCAAACAGGAAGCTCAAACTCAAACGCCAATTAGATGAAGTCTCTGTAATAGAATATGATGGTCAATGGTGTCAATCATGCAATTAAAAGATTGTAAGTAACTTTCACCAGTGCTGTTTCTGTGCTGTAATGTACTGTAAATCCTAACTGATCTGTCAATTCTATGTACCTTTTTGAGGAAATCAATTGTGTTCACTAAATTAAAAATACTTTTTTGTAAGGTTTTGTAGTGCTAAAAGTTATTGAACCCTTAAAACAAGCAGATAAATACAACCAGGTGGCACAATTAACTAAAGAAATGAAAGATCTTTAGGGAAAAAATTGTGTGGCACTGACTGAAATGGATCAACCCAGGTACCTTAAGGAACCCATACAGGTCAATCATACGGAGAGTAGGGCTTCAATATTAATCACAATAATATCGCAAGCTGAATTTTCTTTGATAAAGGTAAAATGTGTGACAAACAGCATTATAATTAAGTTCTGTAATGTTGCAGAGATTGCCTACAAATCTCCAGATGTAAGAAAACACATTTGTTTGTTGGCATTTGATTTTCGATTACCACTGCCTATTACCTTTGAATAGGACATTTTGTCAAATGGCAAATTTCCAAACTGTACATATCTTCCCAACTACTAATTCAGCTTATGTTCAGGAACATAAAAAAAACAAAGTGATGATGGCTTGAGGAATAACTGGTTTAACACCCTCTGTCACAGTTGACAGGATAGGATTGAATTGTTTCTGTTTTTAGTATGTTGTTGTCAGATGGGTTACGCACATCTTTGTTTGCACCCTCAGATACCTAACATTCCTGCCTGAGAGGCTTGCCACCAGAGATTACTTTTGAATTGAAAGTTTTTGCTTTGGTACATGAATGGAAAGTTACACCCAAATGGAAAATTTTCAAATGGCCACTGCTTGGGCCTTAATTAAAGTTGTTTATTATCATCACCTACACAGTTTAGTGCTGCTTTAAACCATGGTAACCCCAGAATTGGTGCCCCATGTGAGGCAGAGTAATGCTGGCAATTATCCATAAACGTGCAATATTTTTTTTCCAGCATATTTTGGGCAATATAAACAATTTTTGATTATATACTAAAATGAAAAAAAAAAAAAAAAAGTCCAGCTGTACTTCATCACTTTGCACCCTCAGATACCTAACATTCCTGCGTGAGAAGCTTGCCTTCAGACATTACAATCAGGTAGCACAAAACTGTTGGCTAAATTAACCAAAGAAATGAGAGATCCCTGTGAGCACAAAACTCACAGGGATTTTATACATTAACCTCTAGATTTAGCTCTAAATCTTTTTTTTTCCAATAGATTTTATTGTTTTTTATCAAAATAATAATTCCTGGGCTACATTGTTCCAAAACCTTGCAATGAAACAACACTCCCAGAAGCAGTGAATGTATGTCCCAACAGACAATTTACACTTGATGCAAAGGGGAGAGGTCCGGTTATCCATCTTGTTAAGAATGAATGGTGTTATGTGGGATCTATGGAGTATCTTATATTGGGTTTCTCTCATTCGGTTGCAAATAAATGTGGTTTTGGCAGAGACTATTGCTTCATGCCAGTCATCTTCCATAAATTGCCCACCAAGATCGCGTTCCCACTTCTGTATCACCTTCCTTATATCTGATGGATCTAAGGAGTAGAGCAGCGAATAGGAATGAGAGAGAAAATGTCTTGTCTTTTGGATTCAGTATAAATAAATCTATATCACTGAGAGAGGGAGAGCCTGTGTGGAGATTTTTCACCTTTGACAGAATAAAACTACGGAATTGAAGATACCCATAAAAGTGTTCAGATGCAATGTTGTATTTTTGTTGAAGCTGTTCAAAGGACATCAGTGTATTACCCTGGTATACATCCCAAATAAGCCTGATGCCTTTCATATGCCAACTATCAAACACACTATTATTAATTCCTGGGGTGAACTCATCATTCCTAGTCACAGGTATTAATGCAAAAGGATGAAGCGTTTTCCCCAAAATTCTTTGTAATGTCTCACCAGACTCTGATAGTGTTGTAAATAATAGGGTTACGCTTAATGTCTGGCAACCTCTTTTTCCATAATTTGTGAGTTTGCTCAGTAGGGAGTGGGGAGAGGAGAACCATTCATCAATACCCGCTTCAGATTTTAAATGAGACTGGAGTCAGTCCCAGACTATTCGGGTGTGGCAGGCCCAGTTATAAAATCTCTGATTGGGTAGGGCTAAGCCCCCTCATTCCACTGGCAGCTGTAAAGTCTTAATTCTGATTCTGGGTCTTTTATTGTGCCAAAAAAATTGTTAAAAGGCCCTTTCTAGATCTAAGATAACCGTCTTTGGTAACCATAATGGTAACATCTGCATAGGATGAAGCAACCTGGGGAGTATGTTCATCCTTATGAGAGTATGTTCATCCTTATGAGAGTATGATCATCCTTATGATTCTGCCCATCCAGGAGAGAGGAAGGTCATGCCATCTCTCAAGGTCATTCTTAACTGTTCTGATTGTAGGCACAAAATTAAGTCTCCTCAGGTCCTCAACATAAGGTGAAACCTTAATACCAAGATAAACAAAGCATGAAGTGGCCCATCTGAACGGGAAATTCGTACCTGAGCTTGTGCTACTGTAATTCCCCAGGGGCATGGCCTCAGATTTTGTGTAATTTACTTTATAGTCAGATATGGGACCAAATGAGTTGATAATTGACATAGTAGCCGGGACTGATACCTCAGGCTTGGAAAGAAAAAGTAAAACGTCATCAGCTTATAATGCTATCTTGTGAGTGGTCTTGCCTAAAGTAATGCTGTGTATTTCCTTACTATTCCTAATGCGTTCCGCCAGTGGCTCTAAAGTGAGGGCAAAAAGGAGGGGGAAGAGCGGGCAGCCCTGTCTTGTCCCTCTACCGAGCAGGAAGGGAGAAGAAGTGATGAATTCAGTATTTATTCATGCTTAACTAATGCTTAATAGTGTGTACTCATTATAAAGTGTTACCGAGTTCTGCATAGAAGAGGTTGGTATCACCCACTCTTGTACAGCATTAAATAGGCCAGCATGTAAAAACACAAGCATTTATTAAAGGATTAATAATCTAATAAGTTTAATGCAGTTAAAGGATTTTAAGTGACTTTCACCAGTGCTGTCTCTGTGCTGTAATGTACTGTAAATCCTGACTGATCTATTAATTCTGTGTACCTTTTTGAGGAAAATAATTGTGTTCATTACAAAATTGAGTTGAAGACTAAATTAAAAATACTTTTTTGTAAAGTTTTGTTGTGCCAAAAGTTAGTGAACCCTTTAAACGATCAGAGAAATACAATCAGGTGGCACAAAACTGTTGGCTAAATTAACTGAAGAAAACGCATTTGTTTGTTGGCATTCCTACACAGGAAGCTTGCCATTGCCCATTACCTTTGCATAGGACATTTTGTCAAATGGCAAATTTCCAAATTGTACATATCTCGCCATAGAGTTCCATAGACACTATATTGTGCACACAGAGTGGGTCGGGCTTAGAACAAACACAGACTACTACATTTATAAAATCAGTTGTTTGTTTTTGGAACTGTCAGGTGATGATGGCTTGAGGAATAACTGGTTTAACATCCTCTGTCACCGCTGGTATGATAGGAGTGTTTTTCTTTGTAGTACATTGTTGTTGTTAATTGTAGTTGTCAAGTTAATAATTTAACAAATTCACGCACATATTTCTAACCAGCCAGCATTACTGGTCTATACAGGAGCAGCTGCGTCAGACGGTCCGACTTAAATGACACCGAATGATGCTTCTGACCTCAGAGATGTACAATGTGTAGGCTATAGAAGAGATACGCAAATTTCAGCGCCATTGATCTGTATAATCAGATCAAAAGACATGTCCTGTGATTTTAATTATTCACCACGTGTGTTTGTTGACATTAGAACAGCTGCAGAGAACGGGAGCCGGGAGGAGTAGCAGCAGCCCGCTACAGTGGAAACTGGCACCGCGTTCAGCGGTAGTTTAGTAATCCACGGTAGTACTGTTGTGTAGGAACCGTGACGTTTTGGCACCGCGAGTACCATGCAACACTAAATGTTTAAATCACAGTCCTACGTTGTATACGCCTCCCTGTAATTCACTCACTCATTAGGATACTCTGCTCAGGCCGTGACTAGCAGAGACAACCATGTTGCTGCTAATCAGTGTGCTAGCAGCAGCAGGGCATTATAATTCATTACTTGTGTTGTTGTTGTTGTTGTTGTTGTGAATGTACGGCAGGCTGTAGCCAACAATATATAGCGCAATTCATTACTTCTGGGAAACGTTTGAAGAGCAACAGGCTTCCTCCAAGCAGCACAGCAGAGAAGTGGGTGTAATGCGGAAGACATAGCCAGGTCAAACCAACCAATAGAAACTCTTCTCTCGTCCACCAGCGTAGGCCCCGCCCATCAAGTGCAGTTGAATTTGCAAGCAAAGAGGACTGATTTATAAGCAAAATGGTCGTATGTTTTTACTTACAAACATTAGTTTTGATTGAAATTGAAGAAATATGTTCTAATATATTTTTTTTTCAATTGCAACCTGTTCTGTTTCCATCTCAAAAAAATCTTTTGATTGCCACTTACTCTTTTTTGCTCTTAAATCTCTTTTTTGATTTCAAATCTATTCTATTTGATTGAATAATAAAGGAACAGAATTCTCTCCATATCTGGACAGCTCTTCACATGGTAAAGGTAATAAAACTTTGTCATATGTTAGTCAAAGACAGACGTAGTCGCGTTAGACGCACAATTCTGACTAAGCTGAGGTTTTTACCTGCCGGTAACATCGAGCAACAAGAATTAGTCAATGTCAAAGTTAACTAACGTTACCACTCGCTAGCTAACTTAACTTAATCTTGTCAAAGATTGTCCTGTTAAGACACATTATTTTCACCGAGTTAGCGTTGGCTAACGTTATGCTAGTGAGGGCAACTTTTATACAGCATTATTACAATACATAGACTTAATTCCTCAAACGTCCTCAGTATCTTAATCTCCTGTAAATCCATGTAAAGGAGGTGCATTACTCTGATTAGAGCAATTATTACCATGTCCTTATACCTGATGTTAAATGTTTAGTAATTCTTTTAAACATTTTCTGTGTTGGAATTAAAACTTGGATGTGCTGCTCAAGATTTACATTGGCAAGAAAATTTATCTAAAATCAAGTTTATTTATTTGAGATTTTTTTTAAATATTGTGATGAGTATTATTCAAATGCCTTTTTATCATTTTTATTTTTAACTTTGACACAGTTAGATAAGCTGTGTCACAATCAGGATGCTTCACCAACTTGTAGAAATAATAAAATCATTTAAAAATGTTTTTGTTTTCTGGATAGGTATTAGGTGGTGTTTAAATCTCCACTTTGCTTTGAGCACAGTACCAAAGGCTCTGTAGTAAATGGTAAGTAATATACAAATGTTTTTATTTTATTTGACATGTTTAAACTAAATTGTCAAGACTTTCAAAAATGTCTGGGTATTTGGTTGCTACAATTTTAGGTTGAAACTAATTCAGTCTAATATAGTCCTGTAATAAATCCTACCTTCATGTAGGTTACAAAGTGCAGTATTTGTTCTAACTGTTTAAAAATGGTCTTTATAATATTGAATCTAACCTGGCTGTTCTTAATACCTAACATTAGTATGTCCTCTGATTTCTTTCTCTCTCTGGGTGTTCAGTAGCTGTTGCAAGTAGGTCCGAGCTACTTAAAGGAGCATTTCACCCGTGGAAACATTAATATTCATTGAAAGTGGGTTATATATGTAGTCAAAATGTAACATACATTTTGAATTTGGTGCCTATTTGACAGAGAAAAGACAGAAAGTGACTTTAGGGAGCATTTGTATTAAAGACAACAACTCCCACAATGCACAGCTCCGCAAGCCGCTCCCACTAACACTATCAAGGACTACAACAACGTGAATGTAAACCATTTGTTTACAGAAATATATCAACAACAACAACAATAAATATGTTAACGATGACAGTTATAGTTCCTCCTGAGCGTCCTCAACGTCTCGGTGCCGCAGTACTGGCCATCTGCAGCTGGATACTGTCGGAGAGCCTGCACCACATCAGCGGGTAAAACAACGCCTTGACCCAATCTCTCGCCTTGCAGGATCCATTCCAGAAAGGCTGTTAGGCGATATTGTCTGACGAAGTGAGAGAATGATACACGACCATTCAAAAATATGACTGGGGTTCTAATAATACAAAGCTTAATCCAAATGGGTGAAGTGTCCCTTTAACCATTACAAACTCATCACCATTACACACATCCACATTTTGGACGATGATTAATGCTAATGCAGATCTGCTTTAATGTAGACTAAGTATAATATAAAACAAAACTAAAAAAATAGGACTTGAGTTACTGGAGACAGTTAATATTAAAAAAAAACTCCAATCAGGAAAAATGGGATCATAACCTTACCTGCTATCCTTTGCTGCTGAGGTAAATAAAGGCCCGGGCCATTATTTGAGGAAACAGTTATCAGTTAACGCAGATTAACTATTTAACTATTTACTATTTAAATAGTATGATGTTTTCAGGGCATAACAGACTTAAGGTTTAAGGCAAGTGTTTTATTTCCTCTCATATGACTCTTTTTGTGATTGTGCACTCTGCAGGCAGAAGACGAAGGCCTGCACCAAGGAGCCATTGAGGAGACCACGCTGGGAATATGTGCTGTGAAACACAGAGATGCCACTGATAGACCACAGGACATTGGGATTGTCCTGGAGGGCCAGGTGGTACTGCATGATCTGGACAACGTTGCCTTAGCTGTTGCCATGCTGTTAAGTACTGTTTCAAAGTGCTCCAGAAGGTTGTGATGGAGCTGGACGGCAACACACTGTCAAAGAAAGCCCAGGCTCTCAAAAACAGACTCCAACAGTGAGCTGTTGCCATTTAATGGCAAGATGGATACAACAGAGTCTCCCTATCTTCTTTTGGAATATGGACCATTGCTGCTTTTTCATTGGACTGGACTTTTAACACTTACGCATTTCACTTGCGCTGCCTTAATGTATGTTCTTGTTTATAGCGAGTGTTGTGTATTGTTTTCAGCAGATTTGTTTCTCAGTGTCATGTGTTGCAAAATGTGCCTTTTTCATTTGGGTGTCAGCATTTGTCAGATGTGTGTTGAATAGAGCTCCAACAGTTTCCCCTATTTTCAAATCTGGAGGTGATTTTTTGGTTTTTGCACATTCTAAACTGAAATGTAGTAGTGGTGGGAAAGCAAGCCATTACTTTTAATTTTATTACACTTTATTTTCAAAACCCTTGCAGTTAAAGGAGAAAATTAATTGTTCAAGCACTGGATCTACATTTGCCAGGACAATAATGGTTTTCTTACATTTGTTCTTTTATTTTGTTGAAAAATTGTAAATGTAGTAAATGTTTTTTGCACATATTTTGCAAGACATTCCTGCATTAATCTGGTCATTGTATTATTCTCTTGATGCTGGTTAGAAGTAATTCAGAAGGTGTTTTAAGGACCAGCAGTGTTGCCTCAGGTTGTAGCAGTCATGAATGTTTACTACACACTGTTGATAACTAGGGTTTCTTGTGAAAGAAAAGGGTGCTTTGTTCTAATATGAGATTTGTTTGTGTATGTATGCATATGTGTTAGTGTATACATTGCACTGAACCTACTGTTCTATGACAATACAGTTGTAAACTAAACGTTTTTGTTTTGCCTTATTTCTTTTGAAAATGTTACAGGAGTAAATGCTGTAGGTAAGAGATTTAGTAGAAATCAGCGTACAGAAATTATTTTAGCATGTAGAATTCATACACAATATATTACACTTTAATAGGTAGGAACTGAATACAGTAAACATAAAAGGGAAACTTTAACCCCAAAAAATGATGTTGGGTCATCACAGTATAATTGAATATAATTAACATTGAATTAACATAATAAAATCATGTTGGTTTTACAAATAAGAATTCAGTATATTAAATAGAAATAAATCATTTTGACTAAACATAAACATAATATGTGCAACCGATGTTTTTTTTTTTTATTAATTCAACAGACTTTTTTTTTCAGTGTAATATGTATATATATGATGACTGAATTCAGCCTGTGCAAGGTGTGCATACATACATACTGTAATATATATATACACAATATATATAATATGTACACATATTGCATATGCACATGTGTAAGTGTCCATGGGTGCGTGTGTGCACATAAGCCTGGAGACACGCTTCGTCTAGCTTCTCAATCAGTGCCTTAGTTCACATGGTGTCATCGTGATAACACAGCAGGTTGCCATGGAGACGTCCCTGATCGGGTCCTAAACAGAGTCAACTATCAACAGGTGGGAGGGAGGGAAGGGAGGGAGGAATAGGGTAGAGCGTCTCACTGCAGCGATCTCCTGGAGGAGTTGTTCCAGCAGCGGCCTTGGTGCTACTGAAGGCCAGAATGCAGATTAGATTATGATTGTTTGCATTTCAATAGACACGACTTACTCTGATTGTCCATTCTGGTCTTCAAATCGATTCATTCTCCTTTGCAAAGCCGAAAACTTCTCCAAGATGTTTTCCATGTTGCGGTGTATAACCACAGTCTGATGTTGTTTGTTTGTTTATGTTGCACAGGTAGTCCAGTTCTGTGATTGTGGCTCTGACAGAGAAAGATGAGTTATACAGTCTTGTAACAGTGGGGAGGAACGATTCCTTAGAGCAGCGTGGTTGAATGAGTCTGTTGCTGAAGCTGCTCATTAGCTTGTCCAGTGTTGTGTAGAGGGGGTGGAAGGGATTGTCCATGATTGCCAGCAGTTTTGCCAGCATCCTCTCCTCCACCACCTCCTCCAGGGTGACAAGCTTAGAGCCAACAACAGATTCAGCCTTCTTAATGAGTTTGTTCAGTCTGTTGGCGTCCTTTGCCTTGATGCCCACAACCCAGGACACTGCAGCAAAGAAGATGGTGCTCGGCACAACAGACTGATAAAACATCTGCAACATCCTGTTGCAGATATTGAAGGACCTGAGCCTCCTCAGGAAGTAAAGCTGGCTCAGGCCCTTCTTGTAAACGGCCTCTGAGTTAGCTGACCAGTCCAGTTTATTGTCTAGTGTGACACCCAAGTACTTATACGCTGACACCATATCCACATTGGTCCCACCGATGCTGACAGGAGAGGGCAGGGGCTTGTTCCTCCTGAAGTCCACCACCATCTCCTTTGTTTTTGCCACGTTCAGCTGCAGGTGGTTCTCCCCACACAACTCCACAAAGCGGTCAACCAGGTCCCTGTACTCAGCCTCCCTCCCACCCCTCAACACACCCCACAATAGCCGTGTCATCAGAGAATTTCTGCAGATGACACGACTCAGTGCAGTACTTAAAGTCTGCAGTGTAGGTGGTGAAGAGGAAGGAAGACAGTACAGTTCCCTGGGGGCCCCCGATGTGACTAATCAGATGGTCAGACACACAGTTCTTTAATCTCACAAACTGTGGTCGTCCCGTAAGATAGTCATCGACCCATTTGATGAGGGGAGCACTCACCTGCATGTTCTCCAGGCTGGCCTTCAGCAGTCTGGGCTGGATGGTGTTGAAGGCGTTGGAAAAATCAAAGAACATGACGCGGACTGAGGTGTTGGGTCTGTCTAGGGAGGAGTAAGCCTTCTGCAGCAGGTAGATCAGGGCATCATCAACCCCCAAATGGGCCTGATAGGGTGGTGATGATGTGGGGCAGGAGGTGGTGGGGGGTTGTAGGAGGGTCCTGGGGTTGTTGCTCAGGGGAGCATTAAGGCTCCTGTATACTCAACGATTTCGACCTGTCACGCGACAATGTGACGTCAAAATGACGTAGATCTTGCTTGCGCGACAGGATTTTGGCCAGGTCGCGCACCACTCTTTTTTTTCAGCTGAGTGCGCCAAACCGGAAAGGAAGATGGACGATCTGTACGATCCTTCAATGAAGGAACACAGAGATGCCCACAGGTGCCAGAATTCATGGCCAGAAATCACCATGAATGTTGGAAAAGAGGAGGACATATGCCGGAAAGTTTTGATGAACCTCCGCGACCGACTTGAAAAGTATAGATAGTCATGGTACTCCTGTGACGTCACGTTGTCGCGCAACAGTTGGTCTGCGTCGAATATACCGGACGCTTTACTGTCTTCCAGTTTGTCTTCCAGTTTTCTCCTGTAGTTGTCCTTGCTCTCACTGATGCTGCGTTTGAGTTCTCTTAGTACCCATTTGAGTTCTGCTCGGTCCCCTGATCTAAAGGCCCTCTTCTTGTCGTTGAGAAGGGTCTTCAGGTCGCTAGCTACCCATGGTTTATTGTTTGGGTAACAGCGGACCTTTTTAGTGGGGATGGTGTTTTCTACCCAGAACCCAATGTATTTAGAGACACAGTCAGTTAGGCCATCAATGTCCTCCCCGTGTGGCTCATACAGAGCGTCCCTGTCGGCTTGGACCTTCTGGAAGCCTGCATGGTGACGTTGGAGTCCGGTATCTGCTTGTGTAGCCACGTTTCTGTGAAACACAAAATACTAGACTCCCTGTACTCCCACTGCGTTTTGGTGAGAGCTTCCAGTTTGTCCACTTTATTTGCCAAAGACCTCGCGTTTCCAGTGATGACTGCAGGGATGTAGGGTTTAAACTTTCTCTTCTTCATCCTCCGTTTAACCCCCGCTCTGCAGCCTCGCCGTATCCTCTTTAGCTCCTCTGGTATGGACGGTCTCTCTCTGGCCAAGAGGGTCATCAGCTGGTTGCAAGTGTAAACAATGCCTGCGGAGTTGCAGGCATGGCTCCCAGTCATCCGGAGAGACCAAAGTGCAATAAAGTGTGGTAAAAAGTGCCCAAACCACTGAAAAAAGCATCTTCACGTAGAGTGGTGAGAAGATGCACAGAGCAATGAAAAATAAAGATATAAAAACAAACTACAAAAAACAACTAAAAACACTAAAAACACTAAAAACCAACAGCTACAACAGAGCTACTACAACATGCTTCCACTAGGACGGCGCCATTTTGCATTTTATTCAATTAAACTTAAGACATTAATTCATTGTAATTTTTATTCTGCTAATTTGTTTTGTTTGTAATTTCATAGGAACTGTGTGACTGCAAACCAGTAAAACAGGTGTAGTATATTCAGTTCACATAGTTTCATATGTTTCTAACAGGATGAGATAAGATTTGCCTTTATTGATCACCATGTGAATAAAAATGTGATGGTAATGTTTTTACTCTAATACATAATTACAGGCTCCAATATAATGAAATCATTGATTATTTCACATTTAAGCCACATTGTACTTGTAGCAGTCTTATGTCTATAGAATCAGCTTTCTGTTTCTGAGACTGGTTCTGTGAAACCATGTGACCACAGAGCCTCCACCCTCTCTGCTGACACTGATCTCTGCTCTTTCTGCCTCCTCTGCATCAGAGAGCTTCGTGAAACTGACAACAGGTAAGAAGACTTTGAAAAAGAACAATGAAATACCTTTAAATGTTATAGATATAGATATAAATGCATTTATTTGACTAAATATCTGAATATTTTACATTCATATGATTAATTCCTATCCTTTATCTTCTTAAGAATTGTTTTCTTTTCATTTCCTCAACTTTAAGTGTTTGTAGGTGGATTTTGTTAGTTTTGAAAGAGACAGGCTTTCCAGTGTTTATGCTAAGCTCAGCTAAGTTCAGCTAATTGACTCCCCGCTAACCATTATCAGCGATAAATCAGTTTTATAAGATAATTCATGATTATGCAGATTATACAAATATAAAATGAGATTTTGTGAAGATTTATTTTGTGGATTACTTTATTGAATTTGCATAAATTAATTAATGGTATCTACATATATAAACATCGTGGTATTCTGTTCTGCAATGTAGATGAGGAACTACATAAGGTGTAATGTTACTGATGGTGAAGATTGGCAGAGTGATATGATGTAAAGTAGTGTTCAGTCGTCCTACTGTTGAAGCGGACATTAAGGTGGATTAAGTAACCAAGATGAAGTTGTCCCTGTGCTCTTGCTTTACCCAGTTTCAATACAGTAACTATCAAGTTTATAGTTAATGCTAAGAGTAATCAGCGTCACACAAACATTATCTCATATTTCTAAAACACTAAGACGATCAGGAGAAAGCATCTTCCAGTTTTATTTCTTTGTTTGATGCAGTTTGTTGCTGTTAGTTAGAAATGAACTGTTGTTGATAACCTGACTGCCCACAGAGGTCAGCTGAGAAATAAAAAGAGCTATGTGTATATGTGAATGAAGAAAAACAACAACAAAATAAAACATCCAGAAGCATGAAAAGCAAAGATGCAAAAAAAATAAATAGTGAACATTTGGTCCTCAAAGTTGATGTGGTAGAAGCAGGAAAAAATGGGCAGCGTGAGGACCTGACCCACTTTGACAAGAACCACATTGTGATGGTCGACTGGGTCAGAACATCTCCAAACCTGCAGCTCTTGTGGGGGGTTCCCGGTCTGCAGAGTACCTATCAAAAGTGGTCCAAGGAAGGAACAGATCCAGAGACAGGGTTATGGGCTGCCAAGGCTCATTGATGCAGGTGGGGAGTGAAGGCTGACCCGTGTGGTCCGATCCAACAGACGAGCTACTGTAGCTCAAACTGCTGAAACAGTTAATGCTGGTTCTGATTGAGCCTTAGCGTGGAGACAGGAGCTACGGATGCTGCATTAGTTGCTGCTCCTATGCGAATTGAATGAGGAGTTATTTTAATGTAGATTACCAGATGGCATATACTGTGCAGTAGATAGCCTGTAGGATTGCATGGTTGTGTTAAGTCTAACACAGTTTGAGAAAATGGGGGGGCAAATCAGGCTGGATGGCGCTGCCTCCGGGCACAGCTGGCGAAATTCTGTAATTCAAACCGGTACAAAATCAGCAATTGTTATCCAAGCATGGAATATGAGATGCTCTAATAATGAATTTACCCAACATAGATAACCAAGTGAGGCGCCTTACAAATCTATAACTGAAGAACGCCCTTGTAAATGATGTTGGCAGTTGCCTCATTGTCGCAAAAAACATGATTGTTTCCTTGACCAGTCTTTTCCCCACAGAAACATGAAACAACATTGGGTACATTCATTAAAAAGGTAGAAGAGGCATTAGCTGGCGAGATGACAGTATTTTAGCCATATGTCTGTGAACCACTGATTATTAAAATACCCCCCCAAAACCTACGGAAGGGCGGTTATCATACAGGTCAATCATGCCACTACTACTGTATGTTTGAATGAATTATATCTCCATTATTCTGTACACAACACTGAAAAACTGTGGATCCATTGCCCTTGCCTATATTGCCCCTCATGTCTGCTCCCTGTCTTCTAAGCTCAGCAAAGCTGTTCATTAGTGATCTAGTAGATCATAGCAGTCACACTATTAGACCTTGCTGTTGACATAAAGCTCCCAGGGTGAACTGGCACACAGTGTTCGATTCATTTATATGTACTCAATATGCTGCATCTTTTATAATTAATGGCAAATGATGATTCTAGCTGCTCATTGTAAAAGAAGGAGATGCCATACCATTATCACACAGAAGAGATCATGACTTAAATGCATCTGTGACATCTGCCTTGGCTAGCCATGTGCCTCTACATGCTTCCTTAATCAACTGATGGCATTGTAGATTATAGCATAAAATAAGGAAAAAGTGCCAGAGGATTTAAACTATTTATGCCTTAGTTTCACCTTTGCAGAGCAGATAAATTAATAATTATGTTTATTTATTTTCCCTGAATATTTCCTGGTAGCTATACCTTAATGCTTGTTGAGAAGGTGATTTATTGAATGGAACCAATATGAACCTTTGTTATCCTTTCTTCAGTAAAGCATCGACTATCTCAGCTCTTCAAAGCAGATTGTAGGTTTTGGCAACCAAGTCAGCCCAGCTAAGAACCCTGAACCAGCCCTATAACAGATAATTCACTAACAGTGTTTAGATGCTTTCTTAGCTCCTTCCCCAGCTCAGGGACGTTTACTGGGGTTGAAGGTTTATCTCTCATGCCCCCTTTGAGAGGCAGCACGTTCTTCCCTATGGTGATTGGGACTGCACTTCCCAGCATTCTCGGCGGGAATGTGACGCCGTCAAAACAAGCTGCTGTGACGTCATCGTCCAGCGCTGCACCTGTGGGACCACGCGCTCTACCTGCAGACAGCGAGGAGGGAAACAGGCCAACTGCGGACGAAGACTGGCCGGCCTGACGTGCCGAACCGAACCCTGGACCCTTGAACCCATGACGGCAAGCGACAACCGGATGTTGGACAGACTGACAAGCAGACAGGTGGAGCCGGTGTGTCGGTTTAACTGGAGTTGAATTAACTGGTGATACTGAGGCAGATGTGTGTAGGTGTGGCTTTTTAGGACCCCCTTATTGCCGAACCAGGAAATAAAGATTCTGACTACTTCTATAACATTCATTTGTTGGTGACTTTTAAAACTCTGCAATAGAAACTCTTTACTGGAACAATGATGTTGGTGTCTGCTCCTCACTACGGAACTATTATTCACTGTCATGGAGACATTAACAGCTGCTGATCGCTACCGTTGTTTCAGTTCTGAGTCCTTCCCGAGTATAACGTTACATCGAAGAAAGACTCCTTTGGATATCGTATATTGTAATCATACAATGGCTTTACAATACATCTTAGAAACACTAACTATTTTAAATAATTTAAACACACCAAAATGTAATTGTTTATAAAGGCAACCACATCCTCACACTATTGTAAAACCACATTAACGGAGTAACTCGAGTTTGGATTAACCTGTGATATTATCCTGAGTGAGACTGGTTGAGATGATGAGCTCAATGCTCGTAGTTTCTCTTGTGAAAAAAAAAAAAAAACCTTCACAAAAAACGTCTCTATAATGAATATGTATTCCTAATGGAACCAGCAGGTTCTCAAATCTGTAAGAGTATAAAGTGAGGACTATAGGGAATGGCAATGTATGTGACATAACACTGATAACGTCAATAAAACGTCCAAAATCCTCATGTTACCGGTCTAGTGTCATAGTTGTTTTTAATGTGTGTAATTATATCCAGCCTATAAATGAATCAGTCTGAGTTTACGCTCCAAGCAGTGTGGAGAACTTTGTAGCTGTGGCAGAGTGCACATTCATGCTACACTATTTACAGTCCATCGAGTTTAATATTAAAATCTAGACGTTTCGCTCACTCATCCCAATAGTCTACAAAATTCAGTTTAGTCTACATGTGAGGCACGTCACAACTCTGGATTTGAAAATAAAGTCATAATTATAAAATTGGTAAATACTGCACAATAAGACCTAAATGCATGTAAAACTGATTAAACAGAGTTATCGTTTGAGCAATAGCTTCACACACATTTTAGAATTACTGGAGTTATTGTCAATAATTTAAACCCACCAAAATCAAATCCTTAGGCTACTTAAGCAACATACCAGCTCTGGTGTAGAAAACAAATGTACCCACATGTGATCATGGTGGACAAACTCAATTTCAATATACAATGCAAATCTTACATAGCAGCTAAATTGACCAATTTGTGACTGAAGGAAAGAAATGATTTGTAAGTAAGAGTTTGCTGACATGTACAGAATATCATTGTGATTAGTGAAATAAAAGTCTGTAGACTTTAAAAGGAAATAAGAACAATGAAAACAGCTGTTGTATCACAAGTTAATCTGGTCATATCATGCTTTGTCACAGCTAACTTCAAGATGGGTTTACATATTTACAGTCTTTATGAAAGTATAAACTGTTCTGAAAAGATTGACGTCAGTATAATATCAATGTATGAAGACAACAAAAACATTTTGTAAAGGATTTATTGGCATGACATGTACCTTATGTTAATGATTTGATTTTGGTGGGTCTAAATGCAAGTTAGAAATTAAGATAAGATAAGATATAAGATATTCCTTTATTTGTCCCACAATGGGGAAATTCCAATTCCAAATTACAGACATTATTTCTAAAATATGTTGTAAAGGTTTATGGTTACCATATATAATGACACAATTTAATCACATTTGACATGCTTTCAGGTTTTACTATTGTGCAGCATTTACAAATGTGACTGTGATAAGATTATCACTTGATGATCCCTGTCCAAATTTACTTAAAAAACCTAAAAAGAATTGACATGTGAATGAAACTCATATACTACCACCCCAACCCCCATACATGCACCTGTGCGTAGTTAACCAAACCTAGACGATTCTGTTCTGATCTTAGTTTGTACAGCTGGGCATCCAACTTCTGCCCCTATTGCAAAATAGGTAACAATATCTAATTTGGTTGAAAGACTTTGCTGACATGTATAGAATATAAATAAAAGATAAAGTCTGTAAACCTTATTATGAAACGTGATCAATGGTAGACAGATTGCATCACAAGTTAATCTGCTCATAATGCTTTGTCACAACTCTACTTCAAGATGGTATTAAACATATACTGACTGTTTCAATGTATAATACCACAATTCTATCACATCTTATAATCTCTGTGCCATTTATTCAAAATCCCATGTGAATTGGATTTGTATATCGTAGCCCCTCTACTGATTAAAGTTTTAACATTATCCAATTTCTCTTCCTATTGCAAAATGAGATTTGACAGTTGTCTAACTTGGATGAAAGAGTGTGCTGTTATGTAAATAATATCATTGTGATTGGTGAGATAAAAGTGTAGACGCGACATGATCGATGGTAAAATGTTGTAGGCTATCACCAGTTGATCTGGGCTATCACGCTTCGCCACAGCTGACTCCACACTGCGTTAAACATATACTGCAGACTGTATGTTTCCTTACACACTGTGTGACAGTATAAACTCTTCTCAAATAGACCTGACATCAGATTAATAAGGATTCGTAAAACGACAGAAAGAACATTTTTTTAATTATTTATTGACATTTGCAGTGTTTGGAACAGGCATCGACACAGTCACCTACTGTGTCATTCTCTTCAGGAGATCGCCGCCGCAAATAAAATTGATTCAAACTCCAGGTAACTCCGTTAATCTTATTAGACATCAGAACTGGAGTGTTTACAATGTTAAGGATTTCATTCTGGTTGGTTAAAATTATGAAAAGAAGTCAATTCAGTCAGTATTTCTAGTGTACAGATCTGCATCAATGCTCGGGAATATCACCAGTTAATTCAACCACCAGTTAAACCGACACACCGGCTGCTGCGCCTCGGACCCGCGCTCCCCTGGAAGGCAGCGCAGCGCCGGAGCCGGAGCCGGAGCCGCAGAAGCAATTCCTCCCCCCTTCTGCAGACCCCCCAGAACCAGAGCAGCCGGACACAACTGTTGTTCAAAGCGACACTCTCCCCAACGCCGAGATCTCTGCAGAGACTTCACAATGCAATCGACCCGCCATCATACTCACCGCAGAAAACAAAGGACAAACCACAGGGAACGCACACAACATCCTGATAGATTTATGTGAACTGTTTATCATATCAAACGCTGCTGGACCTTGCAGTAGATCCAGTGTTGTTCTGTTGTTTGACTGACTGATGTTTCTTTCATCCAGAGAACCAATAAACTGCTACATCCTCAAGTTCCTGTGAAGCTGTTACCATGACAACGTGAGTGTTTCAGTGTTTTATTCTTAAAACACACTAAAGGGCAAATGCTGTTGAATCAAATTTTACTAATTGATGAGATAATTAGGGTCAGTCAGATTCATGTGATCATATAAACAATTTAAATATGTCTTTTTGCTCAGGACACAAGTAGAAGGTGTAGGTGAGGTCACTGCTGATAATGAAAGCTGAGATTCAGGATGATGTGTTTTATGGTTTATTGCATTACTACATTACTACCTTATTAAAACCCAAAAAAGTTTTAAGACCCCAGCAAGTGTTTTTTTATTATTTCATTCAATGTTCATTAGTGTCACGTTTTACTTTTCTACAGGAACAGCTCGTCCAAATATAATGACATCATCTCTAAAAGTGTTCTGATCCAATCAGGATCTCCCGCTGTCTACCAGCTGAAACCAAAGAAAGAGAAGATTGGAACTCTAACAAGAATGACTCTTGGTGAAAAAGATGTGAACAAGACAAACAGAACCATTTTACTTGTTGGTGAAACAGGAACAGGAAAATCTACTCTGATCAACACTCTGGTCAACTACACCATGGGAGTGAAGTGGGAGGACGATGTCTGGTTTCAGATCGTAGAGGACGAGCAGAGAAGTCAGTCAGAGAGTCAGACATCAGATGTGATCGTTTATGAGATCTTTGGTTTTGAAGATAAAACTCTGCCCTACTCTCTGACCATCATCAATACTCCTGGATACGGAGATACCAGAGGGATTGAACAAGATGACATCATCAGTCAGAGATTATTTGACTTGTTCCGCTCAGAGGACGGAGTCCATGAGATCAATGTAGTGGGTCTGGTGCTGAAAGCTACAGAATCTCGACTTAATGACCGACTGTCATACATCTTTAATTCAGTGGTGTCTCTGTTTGGAAAAGATGTGGAGAAGAACATTGTTGCCCTCATCACTCACTCAAATGGAAGAAAACCTAAAAATGTTCTGAAAACCCTCGAGGATGCAAACATTAAGTGTGCCACAGATGAAAAGAATCAGCCTGTTTACTTCCTGTTTGATAACTGTCAGGATGAAGACAGGACAGAGGACACAGAATACCTTAAATGTGCAGATAAAATGAGACAGTTCACAGACTTTCTGGAAAAAACTAAACCTCAAAAGCTGAAGATAACTGTGGATGTTCTGAATTCACGAATCAGACTGACAGCCTGCATCCAAAACCTGAAAGAGAGAGTTGAGTTTATTGAACTAAAACAGAAAGAAATCCAACAGACTGAGGAAGCTCTGAAGAAATATGAACAAGAGATGAAGAACAATGAGAAGTTCACTGAAGAAGTTAATGAGGTCTACAAAGATAAACAATCTATTGATGGTGGGATGTGGTGGAAGGTGTTTTATAAAGGAGCTACCTGCTGTACAGTCTGTGAAGAGAACTGTCACTATCCTGGATGTACAATGGCCTGGAAACCAGGACACTGTGAGGTCATGAAAGATGGCCGCTGCACTTCATGTACCAGGAAGTGTCCTGTATCAGCTCATGTGAAAGAAGAGTGGATCTATGTGAACAAGACAAGAAAAGTTCAGAAGACCTTGAAAGAAGTGAAAGAGAAGTATGAAAAGAACAAGGCAGAAAGAGAGAGCAGGTTGAGCCTTTTGGAAAATCTAAAGAAGGAAACAGAAGAACTTCAGAAAGATAAAGATCAGTGGTTGGAAGAGTCCTTCCAGCATGTTGTCAAACTGGAGCAGATCGCCCTGAATGCTGATTCACTGTCCACTCTTGTCCACTTGGACTTCCTGATTGAGAAGATGAAGGAGAAAGGAGACACAGAGAAGGTCCAGAAACTGGAAGAGATGAAAAGACGAGTGGATGAAGTAACCAGAGCAGCACAGTGTTACAAGTTTGTGAGACTTAAATTAGCTGGTAAAGCACCTAAAGAAGAAACCATGTGATAGGTGAACAGAAAATATGTTCTACACTATTGATACAATAATGTTTTTCATTCTGTTTCTGTAAGTGTGATGTTGATGTAATAACTACCATATATTCCATTCAGATAAGTAAGGGCCTGTCATGGACCAGCAGCAATTCTAGGTGGCTGCTGTAAGAAAAACCTGGTTGAGGGACACAACTAACAGCTCTAGCTGGCAACGCCCCCTAGTGTTTTGTGTTGAGTACAACAACTCCCCCCCCTCTCCTATATCAAAAACTAAACACAAAGTCAGATTGTGTAAATTACAATCTTCAGTCTTTCTTTAATTTTAGTATGTAAGTTTAAGGTTTTTAAGATTTTTCTAATGTGGTTTTCAGTCAATACAAGATTTATTCAGATTTTACTAGTCTCAGTAAAAACATCACTGATGTACCACTGGACGTGCTGAAGCCTCCCTACACACCCAGAGACTCTGCGTTGTGTTTATGGTTGTGATAGGGTGTTTTGCGTGGGGAGAGAAGAGAAGCGCTGGAGACAGGAGTTCTGGATTGTGGCTGAGACCTGGAGACACTTTATTGGCACACATTGACAGTTTTCACCTCATTGGCCAACATTACAGCCAGTAAGCAAGTTTTCATACAAAATACAAGTGTTCGCTTTTCAAACCCACACCGAAATGTAAACTAACATGTAAATGAACACATCAGATGAACATAATGACTAGATGGGTGATTTTAGTTAAGATATTTTAAAAGGATGCAGGCCGCCATTAACACTGCTTACCTTACAGGACAGTGAATGAAATTATTTAACCAAGATGGCGTCCCGCACGGCATGAATAACCCAACTACGGTGTTGCGTAAGGGACAAACATCAACATTAGCTGTATTTACAGAGCAATAGAGGGCCCAACAGTGTCACCCTGTGGAGTATTTAGGCTACTACCTTACATACACATAGAAAGCAGTTAGACATTATGTTTGTGTCTTATGTTAATCAGTTCACACAGAAGATGTTACAGAACTCTAGAAATACTCTGCTGTGTTGGAGGTAAATCTAACTAATGAAATCTAATGTAGTTTTGGTTTGTTGGGACTCTGGTTTCTTCATGTATCTTCATACTTGTGATGACTAGTAAAATATTTCAGATGAAAGATGAATAAAATCTCTGCTTCATGAAACCAGTTTGCTCAGAGTGTCTTCACTGGATCAGCATCAGTTATTAGAGTCTGTTGGACTTTCTTCAATAAATGTCTCTTTGTTACTGAAACACTTAACACACAAGTTATTTCTTCACTTTAACACAGACAGTGGAAAAGTTTCAGTCTTGGTATTGTTAGATTTATGCACATTAAGACAATAACATCAGCCAACTGTCACCTGAAGAATTAAAATTAAACATTCTTCTGTAGGCTTGATGACTGTATAGTGTCTTTACAGGTCTCAGATCAGACAGCTGCAGCTTATTCAGAGTCCTCTTGTAACCAGAAGAGAACACATCAGTCCAGCTCTAAGATCTTTACACTAGCTTTCTCTGTGTCAAAGGATTGATTTTGATTGGTTTATAAAGCACTGAAGGTCAAAATACATTCCTTTCTTTTATATATTTCTGTTGAAAAGCATTTTGAACTGTCTCGTTGTTGAACGGTGCTTTTGGGGATTTTGTTGTCACGTGATTTCAGAGAAACAGTGTGACTTCAAACCAGTACAAGAAGTGAAGTGAAGGGAGGGAGGAGAAAAACAAAGTCTCCACCCTCTCTGGTATAAAACTGCTCTCTGCTCTTTCTGCCTCCTCAGCATCAAAGAACTTGTGAAGCCAACAACAGGTAAGAACACTTTGAAAAAGGAGCAATGAATTACTTTAAAATGTCAAGCTCAGGAGTTAATACCAGATATATATAAGAAAAAAGGAAAAATGTAATTGACATAATAACTGAACATGCTATTTGGTATGAGTATTTACAGCTCCCAGAAAGACAAATTAGAAAAAAATCATTTAAACTATTATAGTGTCAGGGCTGGTAACTGTAAGGAAACAAGGAATTGGACTCAAATATGGAACAGGAAAAGTTCAGTGTGGTGTATTATTGTACAGAAAACAATAATGCAAGTTAAAGAAATAGCACATAATAGAAGTAATCTTTACAAATAACACTGATCTGTACATAAATTGAAAAGAATATTAAATTATTAAAATCAACAACAATTTACACAACATAGATTCATATAGACATAAACAAATAGTTCTTAAATAAGATGTTTTGTAGACATTGATATCATTCTGACCAGAACTTAAAGTTTTGCAGGGATTTCAGTTCATTCTAATGAAATTGTCATAAATAGTTGATTCACTTGTTCACAAATTAAATCCATAATCACTACTACATCACCAAGCTTCTGGGACTGTGGATACACGTTACCACTTTCTGGTGTGACTGGGAAAAAAACACAGCTGTAGTCTGACAGGTTCTATGTTTCTCTGCAGTCTCTCCTCCTTTATGTTATGATTACTGCCCTGCTTCTGAGATCAACAGGCCTTTTAAAGGTGTCCTTAAATGTACTTAAGTGTTTTAATGGTTTAATAGATTTATGTGGAATGCATAGCTTCAGTTTGAACTGAAGGGAATTAATACTTATAACAGAGGCTTCTGGTTGGCATGAAAATTAATATCATAGATATAAAATGGCAAAACGTTATCTTGTTGGTTTCTTATTATCTCAATAAGAAGACTCAACAAGTACATGTTGAGTTATACAATGTTTTGTTCAGCTCCTGCCCAAATTTTAAAACGGAGCCTGTAAGAAGCAGAATTTGGGGTTAGTGACCTTGGTAACATCGTAACAGTGAAAACCTTGTTGTTGTTACATAGATACACTTCTTACAGGGCTACACAGCAATGCTAATGTAACTGGTTTGACCTGACACTCCTTTATTTGACTCTGCGTTGTGTTCGGCCTTGGGTAGAAATGGACGACAGACATCTGCTGCTTTGCCAGTTGGACTGGAGGTTTATTCTGTGTACAACACACATAAAATCAGTACAACAACTTTTGGTTCCCACACACACTTTAAATGAGAGGGAGAAACTACCTGTGTGCTCTTCATTAAGCTTGCCTGAAGCAGGTGAGCTAGCATCTCACACAAAAAGTGCTGTACACAATAAAACTGTTTGTACACATTTAAACAAAAATCACCGTAACAAAGAACAAAGCTAGTGACAGTTATAAAGTAGAGTTAGAACTTCTCTTTAGCGTTTTTAACATGTTTTTAGTCACTTTGAACCAGAGCGCTCAGATTGTCTTACCTCTCGTCAGCATAGCGTACCGCTTAATTCAATTCAATTCAATTCAGTTTTATTTGTATAGCGCCAATTCATAACAGAAGTTATCTCAGGACACTTTTCAAATAGAGCAGGTCTAGACCGAACTCTTTATAACATTAATTACAGAGACCCAACAGTACCACCATGAGCAAGACCTTGGAGACAAGGGCAAGGAAAAACTGCCTGTTAAAAGGCAGAAACCTAGGACAGATCCTCCGGCTCTAGGTGGGTGGTCGTCTGTCTCGACCAGTTGGGGAGATTGAGAGAGAGAGAGAGAGAGAGAGAGAGTGAGAGAGAGAGGCAGAGAGAGCGAGAGACAGACAGACAGACAGACAGACAGGTGCACAGCAACAACAGTATTAGCTTATTGATGAGTCGGTCACAAACGAAGTGAACGACGGGAGTCGGATCCGGATTTCTTTCCCATTTCTTTCTGTTAAAGCCGCGTGATTGGTCAAGATGTGTGGCGGCGTCTGTGTATCTACACTGAGCAGGAGGGGTTACAGACACACATGTACGGTGGCCCAGAGGTGTCAGGCCAAAAACAAAGGGTTAAAAAAAAAGTGAGTAAAATAATAATAATAATAATAATAATATTTAATAAATTTAAATTCTTTAATGTATTTTTGGTGAGAGTGAGTGAAGAAACATTTACATTTACACCCCACTCTGTAAGCCAGGGCGGGAACGGCAGCGGCCATGCGCATGCGCGATTCATTCGCAGCCTGGACGCGGAGTGGTGTGTGTCTCCTCTCTGCTCCGACTGCAGGCTGCTGCACGGACGGGGGGTTCACAGCAGCACCCGCTGCTCGTTGAACCCAGTAACTGCAGAGTGATACTTGCTTTCACGGCAGAGTCTCCAATAACGCCAGAAAAAGTCTCCAGGAGGATTTGGAAAGTCGCCAGATTTAGCGAGAAAGTCGCCAAGTTGGCATCACTGAGTGAACGGTAGCGGATGTTAGCATCATAGTTAGCTAGAGAACAACGTTTCACTTACATATCACAGGGGCAAGAGCTGTCTTCTTCTATGAAATAGTCCGCCAGCAACAATCCGCCTCATTGTCAACATCCGTTACTGTTCACTTCCGCTGTAGTTTCACTTCCGTTGTGGCCTTTGTATTTGGCCTGACACCTCTGGGCCACCGTACACATGGCACAGTGAGCACGTGAACAGGAGGGAGGGAGACGTGAGAGAGCGAGAGAACTTGGCGCTACATAGACAGAGACTACACACTGGAAAGGTGAGGAAAATTAGTAACTTTTTTTCGGAATTATCGAGATACTTCAAACTCCCGCGAGAATCTCCGACCTGCAGTGACTCCCATGGACATATGGTGACTCCTGCCCGCACATACATGACCCAAAACACAAGAGTCGACAACCTAATGATAATACCATCTATATGACTTAAAGACAGGACTATCTCCCAGTGTCTTAAACCCAGATCAAAGTAAAACTTGATTGAACTAAACAAGCCGGTCATGTTTGTTTCCATTCAATCAAGCTCTCAGTAAAGAATGAATGCGTCTATTGTTTCAAATGCTCTCTAAACTCAGAAAAAACTTTTATCCGAAAAACAGAAAAAAAAATTACTCCGAAAAAACACAAATAATTATAAAACAAATCAAAAAATAAATTTTCAAGTGAATGCAATACGCTTCCCTAAAATGTGGTAAAGTTTGGACACATTTTAATGTGATAGACAGTTCAAAGGCAGAGTGTAGACTGTGCAAAGTAAAACATTTCATATCGAGCAGCTTTTTGTCTAATTGAGATGGGTCTTTGTTTTTGTATTTTATAATTTATTTTTGTAGCTCTCTGTTCCATGTTGAGTATATTAATAAATCCATATAAATAATAAACATTTGATATAATGCATGTATTTACATTAGTAATTAATTTTACACATAATTTGGTAATAAATTAATTTAAGCAACAAAAAATCTGAGGAGCCACTTGGGAGCCGAAAGAGCCGGGCTGGGGCGGGCTTAGGAGGGGCTCAGTAGGGATGGGCGATACCACACTTTTAGGATTCGATACAATACCAATACTTTTTCTTGCAATTTCATCGATACCGATACTGATCATTTCTTATTGGCAATTTTTTTTCAGTCAAAATATTATTACACTTAAGGCAAATCACATGACAAATAATGGCCATTTATCCCAAATGTATTATGTGCAATACATAATAAAAACAAAAAGTAAAATAAATATGAATTAAATAAATTAAATATGAACAAAAACATGCACATTTGCACTTTCCTCACTTATTTCTCTAAAAAAAACAAACTATGTTGAAGTAAACATGTAACACTGTACCCTTTCACTCAAGTAACAAAGAGCAGAAACAAGAGAGATGTTTAACATTAACTTTGTAAAGCACATAACAGATAACAGAACAGTAATAACAGAGTTAGTAGAAATTTGTTACATTTATTTTTTGGGGCTTTTTATTGCCTTTATGATAGTGACAGCTAAAGACCTGGCCGGCTGAGTTGCACGTTTGACACTCATATAGTTCCTTGTCACCAGCTCAATACGCCGCTAGGTACGGGAGTGACTCGGCACATAGTAAATGAAGTAAGCTATCCAAAACAGTTGAAAGTGATGCATGCATCCCCAATTCTTATTTGTTAGTTGATATCGATATTTGTTTAAGGAAATCGATGCCAAATGAGTAGCGTGTGAGTATCGATATATCCTAGGGCTTAGCCTTTTTCAGGGGTAGCTTAACACCTTGCTCCTGTCACTCCTCCCGGCATTGATTTATTCTGCAATAAAGCTGGAAAAACAGATGCACAAACTGTGCCTGCAGTGAAATGTTTAACATGTTTTTAGGTTAAGCATTGTTCAACCTAAAAAACCTTAAGTTTCTAGTGGAGACTCCAAAGTTTCCAAAGATGGAGGATAGAGAGGTTTCCAGATATAAAAACTTCCTATTTTTAAATGTCTGTAATTCACGTTTGAATTTAGTATTTTATTTAGTAATTAGTATTTTACTGACTTTTTTTTCTTTCATCCAGAGAACTAATAAACTCATATATCCTCAATCTCCTGTGAAGCTGTTACCATGGCAATGTGAGTAATACATCACTACAACGCAGAGTGTTTCAGTGTTTACTGCTTTATATTCAATAGTGTTTCAGTTCATTTCTCTACTTTTCTACAGGAACAGGTCGTCCAAATATAATGACATCATCTCTAAAAGTGTTCTGATCCAATCAGGATCTCCCGCTGTCTACCAGCTGACACCTAAGAAAATGAAGTTTGGAACTATAAGAAGAATGACTCTTGGTGAAAAAGATGTGAACAAGACAAACAGAACCATTTTACTTGTTGGTGAATCAGGAACAGGAAAATCTACTCTGATCAACGCTCTGGTCAACTACACCATGGGAGTGGAGTGGGAGGACGATGTCTGGTTTCAGATCGTAGAGGAGGAGCACGGAAGTCAGTCAGAGAGTCAGACATCAGATGTGATCGTTTATGAGATCTTTGGTTTTGAAGATAAAACTCTGCCCTACTCTCTGACCATCATCGATACTCCTGGATACGGAGATACCAGAGGGATTGAACGAGATTTCATCATCAGTCAGAGATTATTCGACTTGTTCCTCTCAGTGGACGGAGTCCATGAGATCAATGCAGTGGGTCTGGTGCTGAAAGCTACTGAGAATCGACTGTGCGATCGTCTGAGGTACATCTTGGATTCAGTGATGTCTCTGTTTGGAAAAGATGTGGAGAAGAACATTGTTCCCCTCATCACTCACTCAAATGGAAGAACTCCTAAAAATGTTCTGAAAACCCTCGAGGATGCAAACATTAAGTGTGCCACAGATGAAAAGAATCAGCCTGTTTACTTCCTGTTTGATAACTGTCAGGATGAAGACAGGACAGAGGACACAGAATACCTTAAACATGCAGATAAAATATCAACAAAAGGACTGAGACAGTTCACAGACTTTCTGGAAAAAACTAAACCTCAAAAGCTGAAGACAACTGTGGACGTTCTGAATTCACGAATCAGACTGACAGCCTGCATCCAAAACCTGAAAGAGAGAGTTGAGTTTATTGAACTAAAACAGAAAGAAATCCAACAGACTGAGGAAGCTCTGAAGAAATATGAACAAGAGATGAAGAACAATGAGAAGTTCACTGTAGAAGTTGATGAGGTCTACAAAGATAAACAACCTATTGATGGTGGGATGTGGGGGTTGGTGTTTTATGAAGCAGCTACCTGCTGTACAGTCTGTGAAGAGAACTGTCACCATCCTGGATGTACAATGGGCTGGAGTCCAGAACACTGTGTGGTCATGAAAGATGGCCGCTGTACTTCATGTACCAGGAAGTGTCCTGTATCAGCTCATGTGAAAGAAAAGTGGATCTATGTGAACAAGACAAGAAAAGTTCAGAAGACCTTAGAAGAAGTGAAAGAGAAGTATGAAAAGAACAAGACAGAAAGTGAGAGCACGTTGAGCCTTTTGGAAAATCTAAAGAAGAAAACAGAAGAACTTCAGAAAGATAAAGATCAGTGGTTGGAAGAGTCCTTCCAGTATGTTGTCAGACTGGAGCAGATCGCCCTGAATGCTGATTCACTGTCCACTCTTGTCCACTTGGACTTCCTGATTGAGAAGATGAAGGAGAAAGGAGACACAGAGAAGGTCCAGAAACTGGAAGAGATGAAAAGACGAGTGGATGAAGGAACCAGAGCAGCACTGAGGTACATGGTCGGTAAACCAACAGCTGATAAAGAAGATAAAGAAGCAAAGAAATAGAAGAGCAACATGATTGTGAGCAGACAGTTGTTTAGAAAATGTCTGTACTGTATAAATGTTTAAACACCATAAAGTGTTTTTCATTCAATATCTAGTGTGATGTTGATGATTTCATTCAGCTACATAAGAAAATTGAAATATTTAAATTTAATGGTGGTGTGTAATGACTGTTTGTTCTTGTAGTTTTTTTTAGTTACTTCACTGTCTATACTCTCTGGATTCTTATATCAGCGATGTTCACCGTTAAGCCTCTTTTTTCCTCTCAGCTCCATCATCTCATCAATCCATCCATTCAGTCAGCTTGTTTCTTAACTGTCGTGTAAACTACAACCCTGGTATCCCAAGTGGAATCCTAGAGAATGCTCCTGGTTTCTTCACCATGTACACAACTGGGACACAACTAGTTCTAAATGGAATGAGGACATTAAACACCAGTTTAATGTAGAGTACTACAGCCCTCTCCCTCTCCTATATCCCAAACTAAACACAAAGTCAGCATGTGTTATAAAAAATATTTTTTCATTTTTCTTTAGTTTTTCGAGTGAGTTTAATGTAAGGTTTTTCTAAATTGATTTTTAGTCATTACAAGGCTCATTTGTATTGATATTTTGATGTTTAGTAAACATATCATTGACATATATTTATAAACCAATCAGCCATAACATCATGAGCACCTGGACACCCTGGTGATCAGAAAACTGCTCTGCACTGTGTGTTCTGACCCCTTTCTATCAGAACCAGCATGAACTGTTTCAGCAGTTTGAGCTACAGTAGCTCGTCTGTTGGATCGGACCACACGGGCCACTTTTGATAGGTACTGATCTTTGCAGACCAGGAACCCCCCACAAGAACTGCAGGTTTGGAGATGCTCTGACCCAGTCGGCCATCACAATGTGGCTGTTGTCAAAGTCGCTCAGATCCTCACGCTGCCCATTTTTACTGCTTCTAACATCAACTCTGAGGACCAATTGTTCACTGTCTGCCTGATTTGATTGGGACTCTGGTTTCTTCTTTATTGTTATGATGACTAATTCAAATATTTCAGATAACACATGCAACGTAGACACATTTTAATCAGTTAAATATTGTAGTTTAGTTTTTAACAAGCCCTAATTTAGGTGATTGCAATATATTATGTTATTTCATGCTAAATCACATCCTGATTGATGCAGTTTTCTGTGAATTAATAAAATCTCTGGTTCATGAAACCAGTTTGTGTCCTTACTGGATCATCAGCAGCTTTTACAGTCTGTTGAACTTTCAAGGCTCAAAGCAGAAACACACATCACCATTAGAACTGATGTTTCAATTAAGTATGAGGAAGAATATGTGATTAACTGTTGTTGATGGTTTCTGTAATGACCACTAGAGAGAGCCAAACACTGAATTACTGAAGGACTCTGTTGTGTGGACTGATGAGAATCTACTGAACTACACTAACTTTACAACAAATAATGCATCTATAAATCCTTTTTGCAGAATAGTTGACAAGACATATATATAAGGACGGATAATCAAAGAATTTGATAGGAAATGAAAAGACGGAATTGATAGTTTGACTATAGGCCTAGACTTCTGGGGTACTTCCCACGATGCACTGAGCTCCTCTCTTCCACTGCATGTTACTAACTTCACTTCTTCCTCGCAGTTATTGTGCTCTCTTGTCTCACAGGTTTTCTAATATTATTATTATTATTATTAGTCCCTATCATTGTGGCTATTGTTGTTAATTATAAAGTCTATGATCAGAACCCAAAGTATTGGAGACATTCAAATTAAGTGAAGGAATCATCCATCTAATATCTGAGATATTTTAGTTTGGACCAAAGTGGTGGACAGACCCCACTCTAGCATGGTAAAAACAGTTGTAATAAGGACTAGCATGTAGAAGCAGTGACTGACTGTCTTGGGAAAGATTACTCACAGACTGACTTCAGATCAGTGAGATGACTGAACGATCTGCTGGAGTCATTTGGGAACAATAATGTGGACAGATACCCACACAGCACTGATCTCTGTGACCTTTACACACTGACTGAACAGCAGCAGCTCATTGTTCTGTGTCAACACCTTTTATTCACAACCACACACAGCTGTATATGTCACCTACACACACACACACACACACACACACACACACACACACACACACACACACACACACACACACACACACACACACACACACAGATCCTTTCACTGCCTCTCTCTTGTATTTTTCACTTTAAATGGATACTTTTAAAGATCATATCCAAAGGTTTTCAAACCTTCTTCTTGAAATGCAAAACTTATTTATATTATCTGGATTTGTCAACATTACAGTAAAAAATGGACTATTCATTAATTCCAGTCTTGATTTATATAGAATCCTGTAGCAGTCACAATGAGTTAGATCCGAGGCTTCTTTTGTCTTTAGCTGCACAGTAAGACAGGCTAATTACACCTTGTCAGTTAATGCTGATCCTAAGTGGATCCCAGTGGCTTTAAGTGCTCTTCGCTTCACTAATAGTGAGCACCTCAAACAGGTCCAGGGGAACTCAAAAATAACCTGAAATCTTTTAGTCCTGCAGACTCAAAGATCATACATACGTTCCACGTTCTGTGTCCGCAGACAGCTGCAGGGTCACACCGGTCTCACACATACATGCTATAATTGAGGGTCAGTGTTGGTCTGGCCTTCCCCTTGTGTGTTTTTCCTGATCCACACTCCATTCCAGTTGGAGGCGGTGATCCATCGTAAACTTATTTGCCAACTTCCATGAAAATCAGATCGAAGGAGCATGCATATTTACAAAGAAAATGGTGACTTTGAGACAGCATTTTTTGGGTTTTGTATTCTTACAGACAAATTATATAAACGTGGGTAATTTAGACCTCATTGCACCTCACACTGACCCCTATGTGAGGTTGCAAAGTACCCTCATGGATATGTCTAGAAAACATAATTTATGTCCCGCTGACCAAAGCAGGGAATACAGAAAGTATTTTTGGTTTAAGGACTTCGGAAAACCTGCTATTTTTTAGTTCCAGATGTGAACCAACTTTCTGGCTTACGAACTAATTTATTTTTGGTCAAAATGCCTGTAAAGTTTGAAAATGAGGTGTGCAAACCGTTACAGATGTTGGTGGAAAAGGCAGCATGAGATCTCCTTCTCATGCAGTTCCAATGGAAGTGAAAAGATCCACAGTCCTGATTCTGTGTAAAACAAAAGTCTTCAAGGTTCATCTGAAATGAATGTGAAGCTCCAGCTGTTAATGTTAGACAAGGCAAATGGGTATCTAGTTACAGTCTTTAAATACAAAATTCCCTCTCTGTTTTCTCCGACAGTGTTTGGTGCAGAGCTGCAGTGGAAGAACCGTAACACTAAAAGGGAATTTTGTACATAAGACTAACTCTGTGTAACTTATACAGCTGGAGCCTTATTGACAGTGGAGATGACAGGAAATGAAGGGAGAAGCTGAAGGGGAACAACATGCCTCAAAGATCTCTCAGTTAGACTCAACCAGGCAAGGTGTGTTTCACAGTCAGTGCAAAAGTTGCAAAAGTTTTTTTGGTCATTTTTTCCAATTAGCGAAACTTTACCTTAAGTTTGACCAATCATTGTTTTTTTCTCTGAGTTACACCAATCATAGCTGACCCGTGTGGTCCGTTCCAACAGACGAGCTACTGTAGCTCAAACTGCTCAAACAGTTAATGCTGGTTCTGATAGAAAGGGGTCAGAACATTGTGGGTTAGCAGGTACCTGATCTTCACAGTCGTTTTCATCAGCTTTTATTGCTTCTTCTCTTTTTATTCTTGGTGCTTCTCTAGTCAGATTTCACTGTGCAAATAAGAACAGGAGCATGGAAACTTGTGAAGGAATACAAAATACCCGAAGAGCACTTTCTCTTTGTTCTCTTTTCAACTGTCAAAACTAACATCAGAACTTTAGTGACATTTCAATTCTTATCACACTGTCACTTTTTTCCCTTCACACATTTCCATCTTGCAGCTTCTCCAGTGGAAATCTGTTGTTTCTCTGTCACTCACCTTCTCATTAGTGACACTTGACTTAAAGAATTGACATGCAGTCTCTTTCACTTTATTCAATGGGCTGTGAAGCTCTCCTCCCACCTCCCCTCTGCTTCGTTCAAGTCTCCATCTTCTTCTCCATCGTCTTCTCCTCCTGTAGCAGCACTCTCATCTCGGCTGTCAGTCACAGGCTGTTGCTGTGTGCTCGGTGTACTGCATGGGAATAGCACAGCTGGAGTTTGGTGTGATAGACACTGAGTGGGCTTGTGTGGCGAGCTTTAAGACGAGTACATTACTTTTGCTCTTTTCATCTGGTCAGCTACGATGGATGTTTGACCTTTAATGTGTTCCTGAAGCAAAGTTCTTTCTTCTTTTTCACAACGTTTCTGTCACCAGCTTTGATA